CTGCTAGAGGATCCTGAGCGTAATTTGGAAAAGGCAGTTAGAATGTGCCAAGCAGCTGAGATAATAAATGCCAGGCTGCAGAAGTTGGAGGAAAAAATAGAACAAGCTGAACTAGACAGCATTACAAGACTGCAAAAACCTAAGGCAATACACAAACAATACAGAAAGGAGGACATCACTATGAAGCAGGTAAGCAGAGGCCAGAGAGAATTGCTTGAAGAAACAATGGTCAGCTGCAGGTGCTGTGGGGGTTACCACAAACCCATGCAATGCCCTGCATTTGGTAAGCACTGCAACAAATGCAAAAGATTCGATCACTTTGCAAGAGGTTGCAGAAAGGAGCAGGATGCACTACACAAGAAACACCAGGTGCATTCTTTATACAATGAGGAAAAGGAAGAATTCCTCATTGGCACAATGCAAGTTCATTCTTCTGAGGATTGGACAATCGCCCTGGACACCAACGGACTAATGGTAACTTTTAAATTAGATACAAGTGCACAGGGCAATGTAATACCAGATTATATTATTCAAAAAAATAAAAACTAAACCTGTGTACTATAAGGATAAGAAAGTAAGACTTAGAGCATATAATGGGAACATGATTGTAACCAACAGTGTTTGTGCATTGCATGTCAGACACAAAGGTAATATATTAAAAATTCAGTTTGTCACAGTCCCAGGAAAGCTCTTGCCAATTATTGGGTTGCAAATGTATAAAACTCTAGGTTTAATTAAGAGAATGGATACCACTGAGGGACTAGAAAGCAAGAATATAGAAGGAGAATTTTATGATGTGTTTCAAGGCATAGGGAAACTGCTAAATAACTACAAGATAGAATTAAGAGAACCAAATAGTGCCACCAGACATGGTTCAAGAAATGCTCCCCTTGTACTAAGGGAGAAACTGAAAAAAGAATTAGATAGTTTAGTTAACGTAGATATAATAGAAACAGTAGAGCACCTAACTGCTTGGGTTCACTCATTGATCATAATAGAAAAAAAGATGGATCCTTGAGATTGTGTCTGGATCCTAAGCAAATGAACAGGTACATCAAAAGGGAACACTTCCCATTTGCACAAGGGAAGGGGGTTTGCCAACATGCCAGAAGCTAAATATTTCTCAACTTTGGATGCCTCTTCTGGGTTTTGGCAAATTCCCTTAGAAAATAATAGCGCTAGATTATTTACCTTCAATATGCCCTTAGGAAGGTATTACTTTTATAGCCTCCCTTTTTGGACTATGTTCTGCATCTGAAGTATTTCACAGAAAGGTGCAACAAATTTTTGAAGGTCTTGATGGAACTATGGTTTATAGTGATGATTTATTAGTTGGGGGAAATACTATGGAAGAACATGACTTGTGGGTAAGAAAAACACTAGGAAGTGCTTGCAGAGTAGGTTTGAAACTGAACAAACAAAAATGCAAATTCAGGGTTAAAGAAATAACTTATCTGGGAGAAAAGATCTCTGAGAAAGGGGTGCAAATTGATACTGCAAAGATTAAAGCCATTATAAACATGCTACCCCTACGGATAAAGGAGGAGTGCAAAGATTACTGGAAATGATCAGTTTTGTATGGAAATACCTACCAAATTTAGCAGAGCAGACCAAACACCTTAGATCACTCCTACAAAAGAATGCTCAGTGGATATGGGAACATGAACATGAAGCTGAATTTAAAAACTTGTGGGAAAAAATAATGAAAGCTCTGGTACTAAAATACTGTGACCCTAAAAGACCCATTACATTGTCAGAAGATGCTTGTAAAGAAAGCATTGGAGCAGCTTTGCTTCAAAAACGTGGGGATAGCTGGAGATCAGAGTGTCTATATGCACAAATTGAGAAGGAAAGTTTAGCTTGGTATATGGATGTAAGAAAGTTCATATATTCATCCAAGGGAAGCTTGTGATAGCTGAACGTAATCATACACCTTTGGTAACTATAGCAAAGAAAGGATTATTAGATATGTCACCCAAATTACAGATACTTTTCTTTTGACTGCAAATGTATGTTCTAGACATACAGTACACACCAGGAAAACATCTACTTATTGCAGATACATTGTCTAGAGCATATGACACCATGGAAAATGACAGAATTCCAGACTCAGACATAGTACATGTTAATCCAATTAAAAGAGTGATTCCTGTCACAGATAAAATGTGGGCACTAATTGTAGAAACTACTGCTCAGGCCACCACATTGCAAAAAGTGATAACAGCTATTTGTGTTGGTTGGCCTGGAAAACACATTACTTATCCTCTACTCTCAGTTCAAGGAAGAGCTGTCACTATTGAATGGCATTTTGTTCAAAGGCTCACAATTTGTTGTTCCAATAATGCTAAAGACAGACACATTAAACAGAATACATGAGGGACATCTAGGCATTGAAAAATGCAAAAAGGAGAGCAAAGGGTGCTGTATATTAGAAGATGCTGTAAAGGCTTGTACAATGTGCCTAAAGTACAGATCAGTGCAAAAAAAGAGCCTTGGATGGTCATGGAGGAGCCTCTAACTCTGTGGCATCAAGTGTGCATTGACTTATTCATACACAAAGGAAAAGATACGTATTAGTGCTGGATTATTAGTCTCACTATCCTGAAATTGCATTGCTTGAAAGCACAACAGCAAACCAGGTTATAACTCACATCAAATTGATTTTTGCTAGACATGGGATACTACAAATTGTGAGAACAGACAACAGACCTCAATTCAACTGTCCTGAGTTTAAAAAGTTTGCAAACAAATATGGATTACATCACAACACTTCAAGTCCTAAATACATACAATCCATGGTCTGGTGGAAAATGGAGTACAAACAGTGAATAAATTGTTGAAAAAAGCTACAGATTCATACACCAATGTTTACCTGTCACTCTTAAATTACAGAGCAACACCCATGACACATGGATTATCCCCAGCAGAAATGCTGCTTAATACTAAACTCAAAACCAGGCTGCCAAATCTTGTGGATGAGGCTCATCAGAATGAAAAGGAAGGCATGAAAACATTTGAATTCAACAAACTCAAAAAAATGGTACTATGACAGGGTTCCAAGGAGTTACCACAACTGCACAACAAAGGTATGGTGCTTATTTCAGATGGACGAATGTGGAAACAAAAAGCACTCGTTTCCCATCAAGTATCTCCCACATCCTATAAAGTAGTCATACTGGAAGGACAGGTGCTAAGAAGAAACAGACAACACTTGCAGCTCGTGAAGGGGAGAAAAGAAGCAGCATCACAAGATTCACCAAAGGAAATGGAGCTAACACCAAAGCAAAAAGAAATGACAGAGAAGATTGAAAATGACACAGAAATAGACATCTGAACAAGGAAACCCACAAGAAGTGAACCAATAAGGATTGAGAATGCAGAGAAACTGAGAAGATCACTTAGAGTTAAAAAGCCAACACAGACTAATAGAGGCCTGTTAAAATATGCTTTAACTATGGGTTGAACTAAACTGCCAGTGTTAGTATTATACGGGGATATGTTACATGTAAAGCGGGGAGATGTGTGGATACTTTAAGTTACATATCAATCATTACATTGTCTCGGGGATTGCAGGAGGGAACAGAAGACCTGTAGGCAGGGCACTGCTCTCTGAATAAATAAGCTTAATTGTTCCATAAACTTAACTCCTTAATCTTTTGAGAACTATACAGACACGGTTGGGTCAATTTAATTTAAATGAAGATGGGGTGATTTCATGGCATCCATGAAGTCCTGGTCCATAGAACTTTTCCTTGGTCAGATGGCTTAGTGAATCTGGGTTATTTTACCTCAGACAAGATCATGACTTGGAGAGAGTTGAATATTCCTGATTTGGGCTTTTTTTAGATTCCATCTATATTCAGACCTGTGATTGAGCACTATATGTAACAGTATACAGTATGTCATAGTGTGATACTAAAACTAGAGGTGCACCGCTACAGATTTTGGGGGCCAATACCAAGAGCTGATTTTTATGGCTGATACCTATCCGATTTCCAATACACTATGGAGAGCTGTGTGCAGCTGGTAAGTCTGTTGTGGTGGGAGGGGAGTGGGGAGGGAAGGGCAGATCAAGGCTCCCACTGTGAGGGAGGGAGTGGGGCTGGGGCAGGCACTACACAGCTGGGCTGAGGTGGGGCATGGGACAAAGCTACAGCTCATCTGGGGAGTGTGGGGGCAGGGGTGGTTCATGCTGCTGTGTGCACCCCAGGAGGGCATGGGGGGGCATGTGTCCCTGGATCTGTGCAGGGCAGGGGAGCTGCTGCTGGAAGCTGGAGCCAGGGCTATGCCAGGCTCTTCGTGGCAGGTGCCTGGGCCAGGCTGTGCTTGGGGCAGGCAGCGGCAGCACTGGGAAGAGGCTACGGGGTGGGGGTGGAGGGCTGCGGCCACCCCAAAATTTGCCATAGCCCCCCAACCCTCCTTCCCAACACTGTAGCCACCCAACCTGAGTGCAGCCTGACCCAGCCCCCCTCAGCCCACTGGGAAGAGCTCGGCACAGCCCCAGCCTGTAGCAGCAGCTGGCCCTGCCCTATGCAGATCCAGGGGCACAGCCCCCCCATGCCTTCCTGGGGTGTGTGCAGCAGTGGGACCTGCTCCCTCTGCCCCCCCAGATGAGCTGCGGCTCTGCCCTGCACACTACTCCACCCGAGCTGGGCAGTGCCTGCCTCAGCCCTGCTCCCTCCCTCACCGCAGGCACCTTGATCTGTGCCCCTGCCTTCCCTCCCCATCCACCACAACAGACTCCCCAGCTGCACGCAGCTCTCCAAGCTGCTGGGCTGTGCTCCTTGCTGCCTATATGCTGTACTGCAGTTCCACGCATGCACAGGCCATTTATCAGCCACATCAGGCCGATTTCTGATACAGCCAATTGTCTTTATATCAGTGCCAATCTGATATCAGACCGAAGTATCAGTGTACTTCTAACTAAAACAGTTCACATTTTCTTATAGCCTTTATCTACAAAAACATTTTAAAATCTCAGAAGGTTAAAGAGTGAGTACCTGGTTGTTGGGCTTTTGTACAGATTCTGCCATTTCCGAAAAAGCCTGTTGGGCACCGGCCACAAATATACCCAATATAAGGAGGTTTACGATCAATACATATGACTCCAGGGAAACATGGCCTATTAGTACATGTAGTAATAGGTGGCAGAGGTGCTGTGTGACCTAAAAAAAACCCAATAACCTTTCTTTATTATTTTTTAAAGCAAATCAATATTTAAAGTAAAACAGTGACTATATAAGCCCAGCCCAAGGCTTTTCATTAATTTCTTCTTTTAAAATATAATTAACTAGAATGTTCCCCAAATCTTATGCCAAACATAAGAATATCCTGAAGGCACAGTATATCAGAACAGCTGTTTCTCATTAAAGCAAGATTTATTAGTCTTCTAATTATGTGTTTTAAAGTTTATTACTCAAAGTTGCTTGGCATTTATCATGGATAGATAGAAATGGCAATTTTCAGCACAAGTGAAAAATTAACTTAGTGAGAAAATGCATTATTCAGATGTCGCTTATTTTTATAATTACAATCATATCACCAAACCTTGCCTTACCCATATCTTAGTTTGAGGAATATCAGTGTTTCTGATCTTGGCTACTTTAACTACTTTAGCTTAATTTTGCCAAACAGGACAATGTGACTAGATAGCATTTTTTCACACAAAGTTACTGCATGCGAAGTGCATCAAATGGCCCCCAGGTAGAGAACAAATGATGTGTAAAACTTAGTGGTGGCTGGGGTTCTTTTAAAAATTATCTTCAGTGTGGTATGGATCTGACTCAAATATTTGCAGTATAGTAGCCAATTATAGGCCTTATGCTTATATTTCTTGAATGCACTACAAGCTCTAGAAAGGTGGGATCCACACCAGTCTGCATTGTTGTGTCAGTAAGAGAGTGCAGGGTTTTGCATTTAAAAAGCCTGGAATATTTCATTCATTGGTGCTTCTAGTACTATTTTGCTTGCTGTAGACACCAAAGTTGTGGAAGAAATATATATTCAGGCCTTGAGTACAGGTGGTGGTGTGGTATCCACACTAGATTCTTAATATTTTAAATTTTGAGTCCATTAAAATTCTCTTTTAGCTGGACAGGACATGAAATGCAGGAAGAGATTGTTGGCTGTCCCCACGTAGGATTACTTCTTGCTAGACATTTCCCTTTTCCTTTAATGTCAGTAAAATGAATAAAAACATTCCTTCACAGATAAACACAAAAAGAGATCTCAGAGCTGAACATCATTCATTTTTATTATCTCCACTAGTGGTTGCCTTATCATTGTCATGTTTACTAGTCATAATACACACCTCTTCATTTTCTGTGTTTTCTTTTTGCCTTCATCCTGTTATAATGTCATTTAAACAGTTTGTATGTTTATTATTAACATTGTCAAAATATATAAGGTCCTCAAACAGAACCTACAACATTGGAAAAAGAATAACATGCCGTGACCACAAACATTATATATTTACCTTGCATGCCGCTAACGTTAATGTTCTTAATTGCAGGAATCTTCTTTGTCTCTATGGGTTGTGTTGGTCTTTCCTCCTCTGTCTTGTTCAGTCCACCTGAAGCTTTATTATTCTCAGTGATGAAAGCTTCTGTAATGTCAGCAGTGGCCTCAGCTGCAAGAGGAAAGCAGGAGGTCATCAGGTATGACTGAGGGTAAACAACAGTCAGGGCCATCCTGGGGGTGGGGGGGAGTGAATTGGGGTGACTGCCCCAGGGCCAATGCTTTGGGAGACTCTGTGCCACTGCCACTTTGCGTCCAGCCACTTGCTACCCCCTGCCCTGCCCTGCCGCCAACACCGCTGCTGCCAATGGTGGCGGCAGCTTCTCTGGGTCCCGGGCACGTGGGATCAGAGTGGGGGCAGCTCCCTGCATGAACTGATGTGCCCTGGGCCCCGCACCCTGCTCAGGTCGGCTCTGACAACAGTAAAGGCAAATCAAGGAATTCCACATCAGCTTATCCTGGAAGCTGACCATGAAACAAATTCTAGCACCAGCTAGTAAAATCCCTAAAATCTTCCACAAAAAAAAAGTAAAGTAATGTTGTAAGTCCAAACTAAACTGAACTTGGATTCACAAAAACCTGTGCTCTCTCTATCTACCTTTAGTTAACCTAAAGGTGCATCTCAACCCTGCCTTCTGACTGACTTCAGACTAACGTAGCTAACTACTCTCTCTGCTTAAAAGAGAGTCACACCTAAATATGTAGGAACTCACCTAAATTGCATCAGAAGTTTGTGGCACAGAGGCACCTTTAATCTTTCTCTTTTTGTCATGTCACCCCTCCCCCCTCTGCCGCTGATTGGCCAATTAATGCCGTGGTTTTTGCCCATTGGCTGCTCAGCGGTGGTGGGGGCAAGAGCGTGCAGCAAAAAAAGCAAGATTAAAGGTGCTGCTGTACCACAAACTTCCTCTGTGATTTAGGTAGGTCCCTACTAATGTGGATAGTGGTCTTCTGTGAAGATATGTGGCTGTGAAGGGGTTCACAGGACTCAGTGCATTAGAATTTGGCTATTCAGATTAACATGAAACATGGAAGGCTGGGATGGGGGCTCTTTTGTTCAAAACTCTATATGAAAATGAGAGAGCCTGTAGGTTGCCAAATGACGTTTCTACCATAGGTGTGTGAGAATGTGGAATGACAATTCTTGTATGCAAAGCTGACCATTAGAGACTTTTAAAAATACTTATTTTCTGCTTAAGTTATGGAAATTCCCTGAAGTGGTTAGGAAATACAAATTCCATTTGGGATTCTGTTACAAAGCAAATAACTACTGTCCAGTTTCAATCAAGGAAATGTAAATGTGTAAAACCTGTACAAGGAAGACAGGAAGAAGGAGTAGCATTGAGTTCTGAGCAGAGACCAGAGAGAATACTAATATTTTTATTCCAATAAGTCTAGTTTCAGCATTAGAGGAAAGCGATTCTTCCTACGTTCCTCTAAAATTGTCCCATGATAGGAAGAAATGAATGGCAATTCAAATGAACATGCCCCCCCCTCCTCCCAGGGGATAATTTTGTTTATTTAATTGAATCTCTTCCTCCACAGTTTATCAAATTAGCTCCAGAAATGTGCTAAAGGATAGCAGACATAGTGGCAGCTCTGCAATGACTTGAATTGATCAAGTAATATAGTAAAGAAAACATTTGTATCCGAGAACGTTACAAATCTAGGGAGAGCCAATAAGTTTGACAATATAGAGTGTATTGATCCCAAGATTCATCAATTATAAGTCAATTTTTCATGCACATACGTGCATGCATGCACACACACAAAAACCCAGCAGCTTTCTTTTGTAAGGAAAAGTAAACTTTTTGCAAGCCTATTTTGCACAGATTGAATTGATTTGGTAGCACTAATAAATACATGGTAATGATTTTTCCCCCTACTCAAAATATTCTTTTTAATGGATAGTATCAGTAAGGCAGCAAGCACAGAGAGAAAAGAAGCCAGATTCTCCGGTTCTCTGTGTACTGCTGGAGATGTTCAAAATGACCTTAAAACTGTGAGGGCCACCGTGAAACTCAGGGAGGGTACAGCGCTTACCACGTGGTAAGCCTTGTAGCCTCCCTGAGTGTCACAGTGACCCCCTTTCCCTGCCTGATCTGCTGGTCTGCTTTCTGTTCCCTGTCCAGTGCCCTCTTCTGATCTCTCTGCTTTCTGCTCCCTCCCTAATCTGCATTAAAAAAACTAGCCTCAATGTGTTTCCCCCTAGCTAGGCACCATGCTGCCCAATGGCATGGAGGCAGAAGTGAAGCAATCTTATGTAGATGCCTTCACAGCTGATGTGTACTATGAAAGGGTTTCTGCAGTGATCCAGGCTGGGCTTTAATGGAGGACATTTTTGTGGAAGACAGTAGAGAAGGACATAGTGGATCTAGACACCAAGCCACATGGCAGTGGGGTATGTAGATGATAATGACATGGGAAAATGCTATAGAGTTATGCAGCTGGTAAGTAAAATGAAGACCACAAAAATATAGTTAAGTGACCAATATATAAATGCTCATATAATATGATAACTCCCTGCTAATGTGTTATGTTATTAGGAGCTCAATCTTACCCACATTAAAGTGAGGGGCAAGACTTCCAGTAACTTTAACAGAAGTAGAATGGGGCCCTAATGTTTCTGTCTCTGTGAAAACCAAGGAAAAAAACTTACATCTGCAAGACTGACCATCTCCTTCCATCCCACTGGGGCAAATTCCACACATGTAAGACCCAAAAGTGTTTATGCAAGACACTCCAGGAAAACAAAGGTTCTCTTCACATTCATTCCTGTCTTCCTGACAAGTAAGCCCTGTGGCAAAAACAAAGAGCAGGTTAATAAGAAGGAAACAGTCCCTGTTTATTCCTCAGCTAAAATGTTCAAGTAGACTGAGGCTTACCTCTCAACTGTAAACTCATTACAGGGTACGTCACTCATTTTAGTGCCAAATTCCCCACTGTCTCATTTAAACCTGCTGTCATCTCACTGCTTATTATTGGCACCAGAACTGTTGAATTTGAGCCTGCTTCTTGTAAAAAAATTCTTTAGACAGGTTAAAGAAATAAATTCCTTTCCTCAAGTCTTTGCTTCTGCTGCTTTTTTCTGTGTTGTTTGTTTGAGATATTTGTCATATATTTTAAGAAGCCAGTCTCACCGATTAGGCTTTAGAAGGTTGAGAGCCATGTACTGATGTATTGCACTGTTCTTTTCTATTTGAGCCATTTTTTATTAACAGCTTATTGCTTGTTGACCTGATAGGGTTTGGTTAGAGGCAAAACTTACAAAATAATGGGTTTTTGAATTTGTCAGCCTTGTCTACTATAGTACAATTTACAGAAACACTCTTAGAGCAAGTTTAGGCCAGAGTGTAGATGCTCTAAGAAAGCTACAATAGTACCTAAGACCCGCAGAATTTCCTTTTTTATTACGTATCCAACGGTAAGACTTAAAAAACCTCAAGTATTCCTGTAAATATTTGCAACCCCAGATTTAAATCACTGGGCTAGTGCATGAACCTAAATGCAGAGTTGCCTGCTATAAAGTTAAACTGACCATCTCTAAACAAAGTACTGAAAAGTCTGGGGACATCATTCATTCCAAGAAAGCTGCAAAAATCAAACAAACAAGTGAAATGAAAATATTAATATCAATCAACATACATATGTCGATATATATCAACACACACACATTAATATCACTGGTAAAATAATTTGATTTAAAATAGTATCTGAAAATCTCAGGATGAATAATGTAGATGACGTCTACAAGGAGTATCTTGAAGACCTATAGTATTAAAATGGGCTTAGGGAAAGGGAAAAGTAGTAGAAACGTTAGGACTGAGAGCTGTGTGAGACTGACTGTGTCCTGTTTGGTCCCTCAGCTGGTGTGGTACACAATGCAGCTTCAGTCTTGATTGGTGCCTCATGGCATTGCAGTGATATAAATAACAATAACAATAGTACAAGGGTGTTTCATAAAGAAATGGCATTTTTGAAATAAAACATTTTTATGTGCCATGAGTGGGACACTACACAGCAGTAAGTAATGCTAATGGCAGTATTGCCAAATGCACTATGTAAAGAAGTGACGTGGTCTGCCAAATGTGGATCATTGCACACAAAATGATCTTGTTTTGAAATTGCTGCTACTTTCTGAAACACCCTCATACACTTTAATCCAGTCTTAGCTGGATCTCCTGAGATTTTCAGGTCTGGAGACTGCAAGTCCTATTATAGATGTGCAAACTCTGCTCCCCGTGTCTGGACAGAAACATTTTCACAGACCTTTTAGAGGGGAATGTCTGTTCTTTGTACTTGCAGAAGAGTAACACAGCTAGGAAAGCAGAAATGGATTCTGTAACTGTGCTTTTAAACCTACTGTGGAATAAATAATATACAGTTATAAACTGTAATCTCATTGAGGGATTCTTGGGATATTTTATATAATGAGAGAAACTTAGGTTTTTCCATTACTTGAACCATAGAATGAAATTATAACTCCTTAATTTAAAAATTGCTTTTCTAATTTTACATTTATAATTGAATCCACAGTGAAGGTTAAGAATGGTTTTATGATTAAGAACAGTTATGATACTTTTCTTAAGGATGGATTACCTAGTCTTTATATCTCGTTATTTGATATTGATATTAGTTTTGCCATCCATAGAGCAAAGATAATAGAGTACTTTCTTATTGGTATGGAAGGCAAATGAATTAATGTTTGCAAAGGGTATTACGATTATCAGTAGCAGGCACTATAGAAATTCAAAGATATATTATTAGCTAGTCTCACCTTTTCTTCATACTTTGCAATAGCTTCTGCCCAGTTCCTATTCCCATTGTTACTTCCTCTTACTTCCCTATTCTCTTCTTCACTCAGGCTCATAGGGATGCACACTTATGATTCATTTGGACTGCTGCTACTTAGCAATGCATTTCATGTTTGGAAAGTTTCTTCTCTAGAGATGGCATTTGAGAAACTCTCAAAAGAGTTAACGTTTTGTTTCTACTACCTGCTCACTATCATTTGTAAAGATTTGATGCTGAAATGGTGTTGTCACTTGAGCAGCATAGCATTGCCTTCTCATTAGATTATTGATGGCTTTCTGGGGAATTGAGACATAAACACAACATCAAGGATGAGCTTTTATTGTTGTCACAGAACCTGCCCTGAAGTAAAATAATCTACCTCCCAGCTGGCTTTCAGCTCCACTTGCTCATAATTTTTCACCTGCTATTAAAACATGGAGATGCATTCCTGTTTCACTCACTCATTTCTTTATGTTATTGTTTCTTGCATTTAGTACTTTGTGTCTGGAAAGTACAGAGAAAAAACAATGCATATTTTATCTAAATAGACCAGAAATAAATGGTTAAAGAAAACCCAAAGCTTCCTTCATCATTTAGTATAATATACTCACAGCTTCAGAGTCATGTTATAGCAACCTGTTACTATCAACCGTGTTGTTATCAAGCGTCGGATATTATTCCCTTTACTGTTTTTTGCAACAACAACAAAAAGTGAAAGCTATGCTGAATTATATTGAAAATACTTCTTGTGGATTTATGAACAATAAACTGATGTTGATAATACACTGTTCCACTTGGAATAATAGGCCTTGATTCTGATCTATTATTTGACATGGATGGGCCTGATTTTCTATATGAAGATGGGTACAACTAAGTAAGGAATCAGGTCCACTGACTTAAATAGAATTACTCCTCATTAATGCCAGTCACATAACATCAGAAGTGAGCCCAGAGAAGATGAGAGATGGACAAGGATTGTTAGTTATCTAGAACAAGATCCAGAAAGACACTTCAGACACCTCCAATTTAGGCATAATAAATTGCCCGGCTCCAGCAGATGATTCAAGGAAAGAGACTTAGGTACCTTGCCTCACTATGCAGGCAGTGGGGAAGGTCAGATACTTCCAAAGGGCAATTCAGAAATCTCAGATGATGAAAAAGAAGCTGCACAAATGTGTCCCTATGTATAAATTTGTTTAAGACTGTTCTCTCTCCCCCAGTGAATTACACAAATCCTTCATTTTGTATCACCTGGAAATTGCTTTATCACTGTTTTGGTACATCTTTTTCATCATAAATAAAGATACTAAAATAATAGTCAACCTAATCCTGATTAAGTTAATTACTCAATCTAATTCATTCAGTACCCCATGATGATGACTTACTTGTTTTGGATTATGGGATTCTCACTTATGCACTTTAGTAATCCTATATTTAATTTTATGGTGTTAGTATATTGCTTGTGCCCATCCTTCTTTTTTTTCAAATAATCTGCTGTGGTTCTTTAGTATTTAATAGCACCTCACGCTGAGGTCTGATGGTCATCTTTCCCACTGAATGTATTACTTTGAAGGTAGGTGGCAAAGCTAATTCCATGTGAGAGGATCAATATATGTATCCTTTCCTACTCAGATCTTTAATACCAGGGAAGAAAATATGAGACTGCATCTTAGTTTAAAAAATATCAGCTAACCAGTGTAAAGAAGAAACATCTTGCTTTATTCCTGTACCAGTTTTACAAGTAGGGAAATTTGGATTAGTATATCATTTGTCCAGTATGTCCAAATTTGGGTTAGTTGTTAGAAAACAGAAAAGGGGAGTGAATAAATTGCTGAAAGAAAGAATGAGGGGAAAGAGTTGTTAGGAGTTGTTACAGGTTGATTTCTGCCTTCCTAAGGATTTAGTCAAATTTATTCATTGGCTTTATTTTAAAGTAGAGACTTCTTGCCTCTTAAACTGAAGTGAGGCTTCTAATGGGCCCCCTCTACACATTGTGCAATGGACTGGATAATTGTGCAATTACCCTGACACTAGCTATATGTGCAACGTACATATCATGCCATAACAAGGTCCAATGAGGTTGAAGTTAGGCCTTGAAACTGTACTAACTTCATAGCTTGTTGCTATCCAGCTTTAATTTGCACATATAGCAGGGTTTCCTCTGTGGCTGGGGGTCCCACCAACTGACCAGGTTCCCAGCTACAGGCTATACTAGACTCATCCAGGTCTGGGAGTCCAGCAGCTGAGGGGACCCTTAGTCCCAGCAGTGCCTGGCAGCTATGAACTCTGGGCCCCAGCAGTGCCCATGGATGTCATCACGAGCCAGAATCTTAATAGCAACCTGTGATGCCAGGACCCAACCTCCTGTAGCTGTGGACAGGAGGTTTCGGCAGTCCCCCACAGCTGCTAGGACCCAGGATCTATAGCTGTGGGATGCTGGGTCCCAGGACCTGTGAGGCGATGCTGGAAACCTGCATCTGCTGCTGCAGGACTCTAGATCTTGGCATCCATAGGGTGCAACTGTGCTCTCCCATGCTGCACACCACGTACCCCTGGAGCAAGGAGATGACAGTAGCTGTGATTTCTTAGTCAGGGCAGGCCTCCATGTACTCCCAGGGCAGAAGACTGCATTTGTTGTGATCTCTCAGCTATGGGGGGGCTCTGTGGCTGG